CCTGCCCAAAAATAGCCCTGAGTGCAGAGTTTATAAGTTAGCTAATTGCACCACTGATAAGGGGCTGCGGTGGCTCAAGTGGTTAAGATGCTGAACTGCAGACCGGAAGGTCGGTAGTTCAGCAGTTTGAGACCCGAGTGCCGCATGACGAAGTGAGCCTCCCGTCTCTGGCCCCAGCTCCTGCCAGCCTAGCAGTTCGAAAGCAAGAAATTGCAAGTAGATAAATAGGTACCACTTCGGTGGGAAGGAAACAGTGTTCTGTGCGCCTCGACACTTAGTCACACCGGCCGCATGACCACGGAAACGTCCTTGGACAGTGCTGGCTCTTTGGCTTGGAAACGGAGATGAGCACCGCATCCCTAGAGCCAGATTTGACTGGCTTTCGAGCAAGGGAAACCTTTACCTTTACGTTACCACTGATAACCTTTACATCTACCCATTAAGGTAAGCCAGTATTCGAGTTACTTTATTAATTAATTTATTTAATTAATATTTGTGTTTTCCGATGGTTTTAGGCGACCCCTGTGAAAGGGTCGTTCGACCCCCAGAGGGGTTGCGACCCACAGGTTGAGAACCGCCGCTCTAGCATTTGAGCGGAAAGCTCTATGGTTACCATAGAGTTTTTCCTCATATGCTAGAGCGTCCCCCTGCAATGGGCCCTGTGTGATGATGTCACTTCCAGGTGACGTCATCGCGGTGCGTGCACTTTGCACGCGTGCTGAAAACTCCAGGGCATGGAGAGAGACCCCCACGCACACACACATACCGGCAGCCAGGTAAGACCTGACAACCCAAATTGGGGATCACATGCTCTCGATAGCTGGCTCTGACCAGCAGTTGAGCCCTAACTGCAGTCTCCGAACACTCTTCACAGGTAGCCCCGTAGGGCAGCTTGCCCAGCGTCACCTTGGTGGTGAAGGCGAGATCTGAACTGAGAACTTCCTGCTTTACAGCTCAGGCAGTATAGCACAGGAGCTCTCGGCCTGCCACCACTTGTTCTTCTCCCTGCCTTGTAAAGATGTGATCGAGGGTCCCCTTCTGGCTTCCAAGGTTGCCCTCATGGCCGGGGAGTCGCTAAATGTTGGGCCCTTCCCATAGCTCAGATGAAACCCCAGAACCCCTAGGGCACACGAGAGGAGTTCGCAGTGTGTCTGTCTCATACACCGGGCTTCTTCTCCCAGGAACTGGGATAATACTTGAAGCGGGAAAGAGCTTCATTGCGGATGCCCTCCCAACCTGAAAAAACATCCTCTGGTTTACCTTTGCCAAGGGTACAACGGAGGAGAACACTGTAAGCTACCCTTGAATCTCCACTGGGCAGAAAGGTGGGGTATAAATGAAGTAAATACATTAATTTGCCGGGTCTCCCCAACCACCGGCAGGGATAGGGGGTAGGGATGCCCGATCTAGGTTGGGAAACTCCTGGAGATTCGGGGATGGAGCCTGGGGAGGACAGGGACCTCAGCGGGGCTACAACGCCACAGAGTCCACCCTCCAAAGCATCCATTTTCTCCAGGGGAAATGATCTCTGTAGTCTGGGGAGGAGCTGTGATTCCGGAGGATCCCCAGGTCCTGCCTGGAGGCTGGCATCCCTAAAATGCATACATAAATCAAAATACTGTACTGCAGGCCCTCTCACGTGGGAAATGTAATGTCCAAAAGGGTCCTAGGCAGTGTTCCCTCTAAACTGAGTGAGTGTGAGCTAAAAGGTAAAGGTCTCCCTTGCTCGAAAGCCAGTCGAATCCGACTCTAGGGTTGCGGTGCGCATCTCCGTTTCAAAGCCAAAGAGCCAGCGCTGTCCGAAGACGTTTCCGTGGTCATGTGGCCGGCATGACTAAACATCAAGGCGCACGGAACGCTGTTCCCTTCCCACCAAAGCAGTACCTATTTATCTACTGGCAATTTCTTGCTTTCGAACTGCTAGGTTGGCAGGAGCTGGAACGAGAGACGGGAGCTCACTCCGTCTTGCGGCACACTCGGGTCTCGAACTGCTGAACTACTGACCTTCCACAGCCTGCAGTTCAGCGTCTTAGCCACTTGAGCCACCGCAGCTCCTAGCTAGCTCACAGTTTTTTAGCCTCTGGCTCACACATTTTTGTCTTAGCTCAGGAAGGATGGCTCCAGAGCAAACTAACTTATGCAGCCGCCAAATCGCTCGCTCACAACTTTAATGCCAGTAGCTCACAAAGTAGAATTTTTGCTCACAGGACTCCTTAGCTTAGAGGGAACATTGGTCCTAGGGTATATTCTCTGTTTGCAGAGACTGGACATGCACCCCTGCATGAACTGAGAGGGTGCGCTCCAACTCTTAACACTCCCCCCCCCCATCCTGGGCCTTTCTTACCGTGGTGTTCACAGTTCGTGCCACTGTAGCCAGGGCAACACTTCCAGTGCAAAGCGCTTATGACTCTTTGCTTCACCTGGTAGACTGGCTTTAAAGCTGTTCTGTACCTAGAGAAGAAACAAGTATATATTAAAAAAACACCCTTTAAAAATCACATGTCAGCAATGTCTCTGCTGGTGATGGAGCGGGGGCATCGATATTCCGGTATCTTCATGAAGGAATGTCTCAGCTTGGAAGAGAGAGCGAAATAACCTTTGAATATGTGGTAGATAGGGTCTTCAGCTCCGGGTTGGGAAATACCTGGAGATTTTGGGGGGCGGAGCCTGGGGAGGGTGAGGTTTGGGGAGGGGAGGGACTTCGATGGGATCTAATGTCATAGAGTCCACCTCCCAAAGTAGCCAGTTTCTCCAGGTGAACTGATCTCTGTCACCTGGAGATCAGTCATAATAGCGGGAGATCTCCAGGCACCGCCTGGGGGTTAGCAAGCCTTGTGGTAGGGTTTTTCAAGTGTTGCCTTAGGCCGTTCTGAAGAACACTTTCCTGTTAGTAAATCTCGACTGAATAACATGGGACTTTCTACTGAGCAGAGCTGCTTAGGATCAGGGCCGGCTCACTCACTAGGCAAACTAGGCAATCGCCTAGAGCAGGACGGCCCTTAGGGGCACCAAACTGCACCTGGCCCCGTACTCTGGGAGTTTCTTGATTATTTGTGTTTTTCATTCTTCCTAAAATGCATTTATTTTTGAAAATTGGTGGGCGCACGGGGGGGGGGGGCGGGAGAAGGGATCCTCACCTAGGGTGCAAAATAAGCTGGAGCCAGCCCTGCTTAGGATAGGCCCTGCTCCCTTTGCTTTTTGATATGCCTATTTAAAGAAACTACTAAGTTCTGTTAGTAGATACTGGAGCACAGAAGTCTATTGGTTAGGAAAGAGCCGGTACGTGATTGGTCAAATGGGGAACCCTGCAAACCGTGAGGGTGAGGGAGACACCTTGTAGAATCTCAGAGAGGAGAAGTTAAAGATGACAGTTGTCAGGAATGAGATTGAAAGAAGCTCTTAACAGCACGGAGTTTTCTGGGTGCAAAATAAGCTCCTGATTATTGGAAACCTTGGGTGATTTCCCACAAGCGCTGCTCCGCGCTCACTCCTCCCTTTTGCCCCGATGGTACATGTCAATTTCACACAAGCTGCTGCGTGGCCACATTTTGCCCCGCAGCTTCATGCGATTTTCCCCGCGTATACTCAATCCTCAAAAAACAGGATTGGGTGATTTCCCACAAGCGCTGCTCCGCGCTCACTCTTCTCTTTGGCCCCATGGTACATGTCAGTTTCACACAAGTACGTGTCAGTTTCACTCAATCCTGTTTTTTGAGGACTGAGTAGATGCGGGAAAAATCACACTAAGCTGCGGGGCAAAATGCGGCCGCACAGCAGCTTGTGTGAAACTGACATGTACCATGGGGCCAAAGAGAAGAGTGAGAGCGGAGCAGCACTTGTGGGAAATCACCCCTTGTGTGCTCAGATGGCTTTGCAACCCATGGTGAACATTTGGAAATAACTAGTCCTTCCTGGCACCTAACCACCACCACCTCCTTTATATGTAATGGTGGAGGAAATTTTGTTTCATTGTATCTGAAGAAGTACGCATGCACACGAAAGCTTATACCTCAAATAAAATTTGTTGAGCTTACAAGTTGCCACTGGACTAAAACATTGTTCATTTGGAAATAAGTTACCTTGCTGCAGGCTGGAGACCAAATCAGACACAGCGTTAGAACAATCCATTCATACTTGAGCACAAGGCAAGCTCAATCCACGGACCGGTGGCTTGAAGGGAAGATGGCTCATTTGGGTCGGGGGGTGGATCCTGGGGGAGGGGGGGAATCAGTGGCTTAGAATCAAAGGCTGGTTGCTCTCCTGGAGTTCTATAGGCCTGGCTCCAGTACAATATGGCTCCTTTTGCCCAGGGTTGGTGTAGTGGTTAAATGCGCAGATTCTAATCTGGGAGAACCGGTTTTGATTCCCCATTCTTCCACTTGCACCTGTCTGGATGACCTTGGGCAAGCCATAGTTCTGTCAGAACTGTTCTTGAAAGGGCAGTTCTTGACAGAGCTCTCAGCCCCACCGGTTACCTCACAGGGTGTCTGTTGTGGGGAGGAGAAGGGAAAGGAGTTTGCAAGCCGCTCTGAGACTCCGAGTGAAGGGCGGGGTATACATCCAATCTCCTCCTCCTCCTCCTTCCCCTGAGTCTGTCATTATTCGGCTGACTTTCGAGACACCACCAGGCCTTCCACCTGAATTCTCAGTGAAATTTCAGTGAAATTTCACGGAATCCCTATTTTGACAACCCTTAACGGCTTTATTCTGTTTCAGACATCATTTGACTGCAATTGTTTTTTCACAATAGCAAAACGGCGACAAGCTAGTCACGATACGGAGCCGAGCTTGTGTCTACAATCAATGGTCAATCAAATCTGGATAGTTTGTTTGATCTGACTGTATACCTGACAACCTTGTTGAACTTGACTTTCCTGGTTGCAATTTGTTCTTTGTCTTTCCAGTGATGTGATCAGTGGTATGATGAGCCAAGAGAGCCAGCAGGGGCAATTCCTGGACAACTGAACTGGTTTCACCCTCTTTCCTTCTTCCCAGAGAATCCTACAAACGGCTGCTCCCGGGATTCCTTTTGGGAGGCATGATGAAAAGTCTTAAAACTGATGGGATCATGTAAGCAGGGCCTCAAACCCATCAACGGACCTGAAGAGCAAGGCCTTATGAAGACCAAGAGCTCGTGTGGTGCAGTGATTAGAGAGTCCAACTGTGATCCGGATTCAGGTCCCCCCATTCTGCCATGGAATAAGCCCGCTGGGTGACCTTGGGCCAGGCACACATTCTCAGCCTGACCTGCCCGAGTGGGTTGCTGTGAGGATAAAGTTGAGGGAAGGAGAACAAGGGTAAGCTGGTTTGGGTCCCCATTTGGGACAAAGGTGAGGGTATAAATGAAGTGAGTAAATGAATAAATACTTACATGATCTTCTGGCAGTCTGGAGTCCCATGTGGACACGGTTGCTGCGACTTGACTACGTACTTCTCCTTTGTGCAAACGCCTATGTACGTCACCACCCGGGACTGCGTAAAGGAGCACCAGTTCCTAGTGGAGAAGAGGGAAGCCATGAAACTGTCCTCCACCAACTTCTGTTTAAGTCTAGCATCCTTTTTTCAAGCAGATGTTCTGTACCAGTGAGCCAGTTTGGTGTGGTGGTTAAGTGCGCGGACTCTAATCTGGGAGAACTGGGTTTGATTCCCCACTCCTCCACTTGCACCTGGCTGGATGACCTTGGGCAAGCCATAGTCCTGATCAGTGTTCCCTCTAAGCTGAGTTAGTGTGAGCTAGCTCACAGTTTTTTAGCCTCTGGCTCACAGATTTTTTTTCTTAACTCAGGAAGGATGGCTCCAGAGCAAACTAATTTATGCAGTAGCCTTATCATCATCATCATCATCAAGTTTATTGTATTAGCCATTGGTCATAACAAAGCATAAATACAAACACAATCCATATACATCACATTAAGTTGTCCCTTCACTAACTTGCGCTGAATCCTAACCTTAATCTTATATTTTTTGCCGCCAAAGCAAACGGGGACATTCTGCTGGTAACATATACGTCCATATCAGAGAGCAAGAAAACAACCATCTCCTGTTTTGAGAATCCATTGTGCAAAGGTAAAATAGGGTATATAAATCTCTGCCTAAGTGATTCGTGCCATGAGCATCTCAGTAAATAGTGCTCAATATCATCCACTTCGCCCAAACCACATTGACAGATTCTTAAGGCAACAGGTAAACCCATAAAACGACCAACACAGACCATTGAAGGAATGGCATGGAATCTGAGGGCTGTAAATGCCCTTCTTAGGTCAAGATTGGTTAGTTTCTCTAAATAGACAGTCCTACAGTGATCTTTTTTAAAGATCTTAAATAGAGTTCGGCAACTTGCCACCGCATGAAGGTTCAAAAGGCTGTCCTTATGAAATACCCATACCTCCAATTTGGACTTTTGATTATCATTGTCCGCTATACCCATTAGGTCATCCGGAATTGAGTATTCCTGTAGGATAGAAGACAGATAGTCATTTAAACTTTTGGAAGATTTCAACAATAATCCAAAACTTTGGACCCCTAGGATATCCTGGGGTCGTTCCTGACATTTCCTCCAGTAGGAAAGAATTCTTACATTTGCCCTGGCTTTCAGCGATGCCATACCCAATTCTATCCTCATCAGCACCACAGGTGAACCTTTAGGCAAAACCAAAATCCATCTCATGAAATAATTTTGCACAGTTTCAATCAGGGTTAACATCGACTCATTCCAACCCCAAATCTCTTACCCCATACAACATTGCAGCGGTTATCTTACTTACAAAGACCTTGACCACCGGATCTATCATACCACCACCCCTGGAGAAATAAAACTTCAACAAAGCCCCTAAGATACTCATAGCTGCAATCTTCAGTTGTATAATATGGGGCCGCCAGGAAAGGGTCTCAGAGAAGGTTATACCTAAGTATTTATATGTACTGTTATGCAGTAGCCAAATTGCTTGCTCACAACTTTAATGCCAGTAGCTCACAAGGTAGAATTTTTGCTCACAAGATTCCGCAGCTTAGAGGGAACATTGGTCCTGATAAGAGCTGTCCTTGAAAAAGAGCAGTTTCTGTCAAGAGCTCTCTCAGCCCCACCTGCCTCACAGGGTGTCTGCCGTGGGGAGGGGAAGGGAAAGGAGTTTGTAAGCCACTCTGAGACTTCCTTGGGTAGTGAAGGGCGGGGTATAAATCCCATCTCTTCTTCTTCTTCTACCTTTGGTGAGAATATAACAAGCAGAAATCCAGAGAAGGGCGCCTTTCCCTATCTCTGCATCTCTGTTCTTTGAAACAGGCTCTCTTGCCCATTTCCGTCAAGCAGATGCAACAGCCCTCTGCCTCTGTCCACCCTCCGTCTCTGCTGCCAAACCAGGCATTCATAACTCCCCTCTTATTTTCAGGTTTACCAATCGGTATCGTACTGATTTGGTCAGAAAAGCTGCACTCTGTGCATTCTCCAGTGCTGAAAAGCCTCTAGATTCTGCCCAGCTCTCTGCGAGATTTTACTCTGCCCATAGCTAGGTCGCCCTGAACTGGATCGCCCAGGCTAGCCTGATCTCATCGGAACTTGGAAGCAAAGCGGGGTTGGCCCTGGTCAGTATTTGGGTGGAATGCCACCAAGGAACCCCAGGGTCACTACGCGGAGGTAGGCAATGGCAAGCCACCTCTGAATGTCTCTTGCCTTGAAAACCCAACAAGGTCACCGTATGTTGGGCTAGGTTCTTCGGTCTTCGTCCCTGAAGTGTCAGATTCTGCAGGAGGCCTTTCCCAGACACTTCAAATTCCATCCTGCCTCCACCCCAATCCCCTCGATTCTGCTAGGGAACCATCCCTGATTTGCCTGCCCTGGCTTGGCCTCACCTTTTACTCTCAATAAAATAGTCCATGAATTCCATGAAGCACAAGGGCTTGTGGGACTTAACTCAGCCTGGGCCTAATGGAGGCATTGAGTAACATACAAAATGCAAATCAACACAATTCGGAAACAAAAGTTTACATCAGGGCTATTTTTGGGCAGGAACGCACAGGAACGGAGTTCCGGCTGGCTTCCAAGTTGGTCACGCCCAGCAGGAACTCATTAGCATAATAGGCCACACCCAACAGCAGAAACTCATTAGGATTGGCTACATTAGGGGTGTGTGGCCTAACATGCAAAGGAGTTCCTGCTACAAAAAAAGCCCTGGGTTTGGACAACAAACAAGGTAAACAGAATAAGAAGCAAAAGGTGGGTGTGGCTGGACGAGCACATGTCTGGTAACATGGGGTGTGGCCTAATATGCCAATGAGCTGTGCTGTCAGGGGTGTGGCCTATTATGCTAATGAGTTCCTGCTGGGCTTTTTCTACAAAAAGAGCCCTGGTTTATATGATAACAGTATGACGACCAGTACATTTTAAAAGTTAACTAGAAGGTCAGTAAGCCTACAATCAGAATTAGATCAGTCCTCTGATCCCAGTCGGTCAGGCTAGTTGTAGGATTGGGTTGCTGGTGTTTTCGTGGCTTCGAGATGAATTTTGCCACTGTGTAGTTGATGTTGTTAGGTCCGGCGACTGAGTTGTCTGGGTGTCTGTGGCAGGAAAGTTGGCATCTGGGTTTATTGCAAGCTCTGATACCAATGTCCATGTTCAAATTAGATGTTGCATTATTGTGGGTGAGGAGCTGTTTGAGATTGAGGGGCTGTCTGCACAAGAAAAGGGTTGCCCTCCCAGTACTTCTGAACGAGAACTATCTTTATCCAGTAGAAGTTGCTGATGATAACATTGAACTGTTTTGAGAACTGTATGTGACCGTCAGGTGCTCTGTTATTGTCTCTTCTGGGCCTGTCTTGCAACAGGTTTTCTCTGGGTATCGTGCTGACCATCTCAGGCTTATTTGCTCATCTTCCAACACTGTGTACGCCATTAAATGCCAACAGTGCCCCTCAGTTCTCTACATAGGACAAACAGGTCAAACCCTACGCCAAAGGACAAATGGACACAAATCTGACATCAAGAATCACAAGACTGAGAAATCTGTAGGAGTCCACATCTGTTTGTTAACCCTTTTATTTGTATGCTAATTTACTGCCATTCACAGATCTTTCTTACATCCAGTCTCAGATAAAATCACCCAGTACTTATGCATCTTGACTCTAAGTGGCCCTTCCTGACAACAACAACCCCCCCATAAGTAATGGTTGAGGAGGTCCTGTTCTACTGTATCTCAGGAAGCGTGCTTGCACACAAAAGCTTATACTGTGAATAAAACTTTGTTGGTCTTAAAGGCGCCACTGGACTCAAACTTTATTCTACGAGCAGGAACCGTGAGACAGGAGAAATATTTATGGTAGGAAAAGGGATAAATGAAGGCACAAAACCCAGAAAAATATGTTTTGATGTTAAAAGAGGACCCACCTTCTGAATGGGATAGAAGGAATCAGAGATCTCCATCTCTACTTGTGTCTGACGAAGGGAGCGTCGACTCTCGAAAGCTTATGTCTTGAATCTCCTGTTGGTCTCTAAGGTGCTACTGAGCTAGGCTTGCCAAGTCCCCCCGGGGGACAGGGAAACCCCCGCCCCAGAGGCCCGTTCCCCGCCACCGGCGGATCGGGCCCCAGGGAGAACCCCACACCCAAAGCACCCGACGTGCACATCACCCGGAAGTGACACGACCACGCCGGGCATGCTGGGGGCGGGGCCACGGTCATCCAAGGGAAAACTCTATGGTTTCCCCTCGGATGGTCGTGGCCTCGCCCCCAGCGTGCCCGGCGTGGTCGCGTCACTTCCAGGTGACATGGTGGCAGCGCTCCAGGAAGAAGCCGGGAGTCCCCCGTTCCGACAGCAGGTAAGACTTGGCAACCCTATACTGAGTTCAATTCTGAACTGGTCTTCTGCAGAGCAGCATGACTTCCTTTTGAAACTATGGCCGTCAGTTATCTCAAGGCGGCGGCGGCGATGGGTGGGGGATGTTGCTCCCTTCACATTGTACAGATATAAATGCCTGTTTCTCAGAGAAAGCTGAACAGCACACTAAAGCATAAAACGGCACACAATGCCATTAGCGTCATGTGGGGAATCTGGAAAGGTCACGAGACCTTTCTATTCTGATATTTCCATTAGATTCGCATTGAAATAGGGTGGGGTTTGTCTGGAGCTGTGTTTGCACCTTCGGAAGAAAGTTCCGAAAGAATGGCCGAACTTTCGAGTCTAACATCAGCTGAGTGAGGATGCTGATAATTGCCCTACATGGAGACTTTCTGTTTTGTTTTTGTTTTGGAGACTGAGTGAGAAACAATGGGAAAGCAAGGAAAATACTCAGAGAGCGAAACCGGAGTCTGAGGTCAGCAGAACTGATGGAGTAGGGGGAAGTTTTATGACGAGCGTGGGAGTAAATTAGTGAGAAAATTTCTTACAGAAAGACTGAACCATCAAATATTAGTAAACTCGGGTAAGTGCAAGCCAGTTTATGGGAAACAGTTTATAAATTATGTTATGATCCCCGGCTTCATGGAGGTCCGCTTAGCCTCAGCCAGAGCTTTCTCAGCTCCAGTGCTGGTGGAACACTCCCCCAAGAGAGATCCAGGACCTGCAAAATGGAGATGCTCCGCCAGGCCTGTGGTCGAGGCGGAGGGGATCCATTAGCACTGGCCTCTCCCGGCACGCTTCCATCTTATATTGTTTCTGCTCATCTGCCCACCTCCCATAGCTACCATCTACGGTGCACATATGTGGAGTTGACTCAGGAGCCGTAACATTACTTGGCGCCCTCAATGTGTCGGTGTGTAAGCTTCAGCATCAAGATCTCCAAGATCTTACTGACAGCTGACAGATGCTGCAAACCAGATCCAGCCAGTTTAGACTTGTCTGGGTAAAGACAATGTCACAATGAGTCAGCACTGTCCTGATTGGCTGACATATGTATATATGTGGACATGTATCTCTGTATAGTATTCTTGTGATGATATATGGATTCTGGCGAAGCACTTTGTTGGAGAGCTGTAAATACTGTAAATAAAATTCCTGTAAATAGTTACCACTGGACTGAACTGTGTGGTTTATTATTGGAAGCATCTGGTGTGTGAAAGACTGCTGGTGAATGCTAAATTGTCTGAGTTACTGGTTCTTACTACCACACACACTGCGTGACACAATGAAGTTATATTTTGGATTTTAACAATTGTTGATATTATGCTTCATTATTGTATCGTATTTTATCATATTGTTGGAACCTGCCCTGAGCCCTGTGGTGCAGGGGATGGTGGGGTAGAAATCAAGAAAAATAAATAAATAAAGCAGATCCACATATCTCAAACCACCCAAGTATGATGTTGTGACGACCCCTTAACTGGGGAGGTCTGGTTTTACTTTAAAAGTGTTCCTTTTATTTTATTTTACTGGGTATTCCGGCTGCCACCAGGAAATTTAAGGCTTTCCAAACCTCTATAATATAATATTTCTGTCACTGGGTAGGTAAGTCGAGGGTTTAGGTGTTCACGAGGGTCTATGTGTTTCCTGGGAAGAATTTCTTTCAGAACTGGCCGGAGAGGGGGACATCAGACAGGTTACAGTGCCATAGACTCCACCCTCCAGCCCAGCTATTTGCTCCTGGGGAACTATTGTTGCCAATCTTGGCCCAACTGTGCAGGAGCAGAAGAAGGGTGAACTGCAAAGGATTTTGTGCTTGACAAATAATAACACAGCCATGATCTTGGGGGATATGTGCCTCTTCTCCATTAAATTGGACAACTTAGTTCACAAATGAAGATCACACACTTTTCTCTCCCACTGTCAGGGATCTGGGCATGTAACTTTGTAACACTTTTTTCCCTTTAGGCCATATACGGTTACTGTTTCTTTATACTTCAACTTTTCATAACACACACAAGACTTCTCTCTCTCAGACCTTAAAACGAACAAACTGCTTAACTCTTTTACTACACAGAACCAAATTATCCCACACAGGGATGTGTCTCTCTCTCAGACTTCAGAACTTAACTAAAACTAACTTTCAACTGTCATCTCACTAACTGTCTTAACTGTAACTCTTGACTGACATATCTGCTCATCCACACAGAATCATTTCCAAAACCCCTCCCCCTCTCTGTCACTCACCAATCACACCACTTGCTTGTTTCCACTACTCTAGACTATCATACAGCCATGCATCCAAACTTTTAAAAAGACACACACACATAAACAAGGAATCGTTACAGATGTATTTTGTGAAAGCTAGATTTCAGGCCCGGTAGCACCTTGGAGGACAAGATTTTTGGGGTATAAGATTTGAGGGTCAAAGGTAAAAGGTAAAAGTTCCCTTGCTCGAAAGCCAGTCAAATCTGACTCTAGGGTTGCGGTGCTCATCTCCGTTTCAAAGCCGAAGAGCCAGCGCTGTCCGAAGACATTTCCGTGGTCATGTGGCCGGCATGAGTGAACACCAAGGCGCATGGAACGCTGTTCCCTTCCCACCGAAGTGGTACCTATTTATCTACTTGCAATTTCTTGCTTTCGAACTGCTAGGTTGGCAGGAGCTGGAACTAGAGACGGGAACTCACTCCGTCATGGGGCACACTCGGGTCTCGAACTGCTGAACTACCAACCTTCCACAGCCTGCAGTTCAGCATCTTAACCACTTGAGCCACCGCAGCTCCAAAGCTCCCTCCTAAACCCCAAAAATCTTGTTTGCCTCTAAGGTGCTACTGGGTAGCTATCTGCAGTAGAACAGCTAGGTTCAAGTCTAGTAGCACTGTTAAGTTATGAGACTTCAGTCAGCTCTTAACAAGTGAATTCAGCTTTATTGGAATCAGACAAAACAACAACAAGAAAATGGAGCAAGGAGCTCTCTTTTAAGCTTTCCGGGCGTGTAAAGCCACGCCCCCTAGTGTGTTAATAACCCATCATAACTCTCGCATAACGGCCAATAATATTCGTTCCCTCCATAACTTCCTTAGGTTCTGACTGGTCTACTTTGCAGAGTAGCCAATCAGAACGTGCATTTCACGATACCAGCCCTTGGTTGAAGCTCAGACATTTACTGTATCTATGCACATACATAACAAGCACCAACCAGATGTTCAGGCTATGAGCTTCCGTGAGTCAGAGCTCCCTTAGTCAGATATGCATCTGGACTCGAATCTAACTGTTCTATTGAAGAACAACTTTAAAGTCCAGCAACACCTTTAAGACCAACAAAGTTTTATTCAAGGCATGAGCTTTTGTGTGCAGGGCACATTTTTTTCAGATACATTGGAATGGTAGGTAAGGTTCAAGCTTTTCGACAGGGGCTGAACAGCAGATTAACAGACTGACCACCTGGATCTATGTTCCATCGCAAACCAGCAGGGCTACCCTCCGAAATGGCTTAGTTTGTGTTTATTGATCGACTGCGGTTGATTTTGTAATATTCTTGTAAACTTGTTGATGATAGCTGTCTAATGATCATTTGCGATTATTGCTGTATTCCCTAGAGAGCTTGGTACTTCCTCTTGAAAAGGACAAAGCACAACAAATTTTAAAAATACAGAGAAGAGAGCATGTGGCTGAGTTAGGGGAGGCATCTACTTATCACTTTTTAAAAAAATCATCGTCTTTCCAATGAGGACTGTAATAGGGTTGCCAGGTCCCTACCTTTTGCTGGCGGGGGGGGGGGAGAAGCTCCTTTCCTGGGATCTTCTGGTGCACACACTATGCACTCAGAGGAGTATTCCCTCACCGATCGCCTACCTTGCTTCAGAGTTCGCAGGAACGCCCTTGCCTTGGGCCCGGCGTTCCGGTCTTCAAACTGGGCTCGCAACGCCCACATAAAAGCATCCAGATTCATAAGTTCCGGACCCTGGGCGTTGTGCAGCCCCACATACCAAGCCGCCGCAGGGCCCCGAGCCAAGCTGCCACCACGTCTACTCGGCTGCTGTCATCTGGGAACAGGTGCCCCAACCTTTCCACAAACTTCATCACTCGAACCACGAAGTAGGAGAGTTCCTCTGGGCTCCCATCAAAGGTGGCTTTGATGAGGTCTTTCGGGCGAGGCATCACCCGTTCCCTCGGACTGCCAGGACGTGGCGCTGGAACCGGGACATCGGGCGGGCCCGGTTGCGGGGCATCCTCAGGCCGGGGCAGCTGCGGGGGCGGAGGGGCAACAGGCCCTGCTGGGACCGCCGGTTGGGCCTCCCTCTCCTCCCTGATGGCTTGGATTACCAGCTGCGGGATTGCCTGGATGACGTCCTCCAAAGTCCGCTGCAGTTGCCTTCTCTTTCGATCCGCCACCTCCATCCTCTGGGCCAGTTCCAGTCCCTCCTCCGGGGGGACACGGCCACTTCTCGCTTTTGTCCTCTCCGTCACCCATGCCCCGGGCAATGGCTCGAATGGGGCCCCAAAGGGGGGGAACCCCCCTGCCGTGGAAAATCTCCAGTCGAATCGGCTGTCTCTCTGTCGCCCCTGCGTAAGCATATAAGTCTCTGCTGTAGAGTCCGGGTGAAACTGGCTCCAGCTGGAGCTTTGTCGGTAACCATGGCCGGGCGGCCGCCTCGGCCCCATTGGGGTCAGGAACACCAGGGTCGATGTCGTCTTAGGAATGGCTCTCATGTCAGCTGCAGTTACCGGCAGCGTAGTAGTCACCCGCACAGTTGCCTGGGTCATGGGAGTCCCCCCACCGGTCGTGGTAGGGGTCGGGCTCCCTCCGGAGTTGTCCTTCTTAGGAATGGGTTTCTCCTCTCCGTCACTCATCTCGGTTTTGGAGAGATGCGGGGAGATAGAGAATGGAGGATTCTTAACAGAATGTCAGAACCCACAGCCAACAACAAAGTACACGCATTCAAGAACGGTAATACTTTTATTGCAGAGCTATAGATGCAGTAACATAAGCACTGTTAAGAATGGTGGCGACCCCATGGGCATAATAGGATATAGGGTATTCGTATGCACCCACACACACACAGCACTGGCCAATTAGGCAATCTTCCGCGCACGGGATAAAGCTTGGAGACGTTAGGTAACTAAAGCTGAGAACCAACACTCTCCCACGGCACCTAGGAAAAACCCTGACAATACAACTCCCTCCTGCACATCTGTATAGATAAGCATCTCGGCGCAAAGCAGAAAAAGCACAGAAAGGAATGCAGTAGCAATTAACCAGACACAGACCTAGCTCCCCAACTTTCATGGCAGCATAGCTGACAGTGGGGAATCAAACCCGGTTCTCCCAGATTAGAGTCTGCGCACTTAACCACTGCACCAAACTGGTCCTCTATGTCAGTTTTTCGTATTGTTCTGAGAACCTGTAAAACCAGTGGCACCAGTGAGACAAAACAAATAGGTGCACACACCCCAGAGGAAGAGGAACATTTTTTCCCTCACAGGCAACTCTCTTAAAAATGGCTAAAAACAACGTTGGCCTATCTGCACTGCTATTAGCCACAAGGTATAGATAGGGACTCTGGGGCAAGTGATGCTCTGTCATCTTGGTGCTTGGGGGGGTCAACAGTGGGCTTCTAATGTCCTGGCCCCACTGGTGGACCTCCTGATGGCACCTGGTATTTCTGGCCACTGTGTTACACAGAGTGTTGGACTGGATGGGCCTTTGGCCTGATCCAACATTGGCGTCTCTTATGTTCTTGTGTTCTTATATTTATACAATTTCCACCTCGTGTTCGCAGAATTCGTTGCCTAACGGTGCCTCCGGCATTTCTGCAGTGAACCAGACAGCATGGAGCAAGTGCCTGATTAGAGCAGAGAGTGTTTTGGGGCACAATCAAGCAAGGCAAACAAGCCATTAAGGCTGAACATTGTTCTGACTTCCTCTAAGGATGCAAAGGGGGGGTGGGAGTTTCATGCTGCTTTTATCTGCTTCCAGCACTCCGGTGGGTCCTCCCATCCTCCATTTGTCACCCAGACAGAGTAGTCAGGAAAGAGAGGTTGGTTGTTACAGATCTGACTGGCCTGTCAAAGACACGGAAGCCTTGCACGCCTTTGGGAGACAGCGACAGCACACTTAAAATAAATCTTCACTTCCGTGTGCAGTGGGAAGTTTAGGGGTGTGCAGTCAGCATAAATCAAGTGGGGAAAAATACTCCAAAGATACCGTAAAGGTAAAGGTTCCCTTGCTTGAAAGCCAGTCGAGTCTGACTCTAGGGTTGCGGTGCTCATCTCCGTTTCGAAGCCGAAGAGCCAGTGCTGTCCGAAGACGTTTCCGTGGTCATGTGGCCGGCATGACTAAACACCAAGGCGCACGGAACGCTGTTACCTTCCCACCGAAGCAGTACCTATTTATCCACTTGCAATTTCTTGCTTTCAAACTGCTAGGTTGGCAGACTAGAGACGGGAGCTCACTCCATCATGCGACAACTCAGGTCTCGAACTGCTGAACTACTGACCTTCCACAGCCTGCAGTTCAGCATCTTAACCACTTGAGCCACCGCAGCTCCGAAAAATCCCTTACTGATAAGGTATTTTGGGGTTATTTTTAAAGCCACATGGAATGGGGCTGAATTTTGGCTACCTGAAATAACCAATGTTTGGGGATTTGGGGACTGCCGGATAGCCAAAGTTCGCAGTCCCTTTAAACACCTTCCAGGTGAACTCACACCACTTGGAAGAAGGTGTTTAAAGGGATTGTGGTCCCTTTAAACACCTTCAGAGCGCACTCTCAGAGTTGCAGCTTGGCAGAGGGGTTTAAAGGGACTGCAATCTCTTTAATGCCTTTTCCTCCTCCATTGGTAACAATGGAGGATGAGGGCACCTTCTTTGGGGGCCCATAGAATTGGACATCCTGGTGCAATCTTTTCGAAACTTGGGGTGGGGGAGGTGAACAGAGGCACCAGCAACTATGCTGCAAATGTAGGGCCTTTGCCTCAAAAAAACAGCCCCCCATAGCCCCAGATACCCCCAGATCAATTCTCTATTATACCCTATGGGGACCATTGATTATATTAATCCCCATAGGATATAATGGAGGCAAAAATTTGGGTTTCTCAAATATTTACCAAATCCAAATACCATACTGTTATTAGGATTTGGGAATATTGAGAAATACCAATATTTTTCGGGTTCAATGTACCCGAACCCAAAAAATACCAGCGGGGGTTTTTGCACACCCCAAGTCAGTTTCCACAGGGTCCAAGGTATTCTTCATGACATTTCAGAATATATTTCTTCTTTTTCTCCCAATCAGAGATCATCAGTGGGCTGCAAAAACTCAAACTTCTGTCTACCATTCTCACCAAAATCTCACGGATGCTCGAATGCCCACTACATTCTATTAGTAAAGGTAAAAGTTTCCCTTGCTCGAAAGCCAGTCGAATCCGACTCTAGGGTTGCGGTGCTCATCTCCGTTTCCAAGCCGAAGAGCCAACACTATCCGAAGACTTCTCCGTGGTCATGTGGCCGGCATGACTAAACGCCGAGGCGCACAGAACGCTGTTACTTTCTCACCAAAGTGGTACTTATGTATCTACTTGCAATTTCTTGCTTTCGAACTGCTAGTTTGGCAGGAGCTGGGGCCAGAGACGGGAGCTCACTCCATCCCGCGGCATGAGGGTCTTGCACTACCAAAGTACAGACCTTCCAGTCTGCAGCTCAGTGTCTTAACCACTGAGCCACGGCCCCTACATTCTATTTGTTCTTGTTGTTCAGTCGCACAGTCGAGTCCGACTCTTTGCGACCCCATGGACCAGATCACGCCAGGCCTTCCTGTCTTCCGCCATCCTCTGAAGTTTGCTCAACTTCATGTCCGTTGCATCGATGACACTGTCTAACCATCTCATCCTTTACTGTCCATGTCTTCTTTGACCTTCAATCTTTCCCAGCATCAGGGTCTTCTCCAGGGAGTGCTCCCTTCTCATTGGGTGGCCAAAGTATTTGAGCTTCAGTTTCATTATCTGGCCTTCCAGGGAGCAGTCAGGGTTGATTTCTTTTAGGATTGACTGATTTGATCTACTTGCAGTCCAAGGGACTCTCTCAAGAGTCTTCTCCAGCACCATAGTTCAAAAGAATCTATTAGGCAGTCACAAAAAAAGAAGCCAATTTTTTAAAATGAAGGATTCATCTCTTCGTCTGCCTGTTCATGGCTGTTTGACAGCTGGCTTCACTGTAGTCCTTCCTAACCATGCGGTAACCATGCAACTATCTTTTCACACATGCACACTATCATATAGCCTGACCTTGTCAGATCTTGGAAGCGAAGCAGGGTTAGTACTCGGATAGGAGGCCGCCAAGGAATCCCAGGGTCGCTATACAGAGGCAGACGATGGCAAACACAAACCACCTCTGCCCGTCTCTTGCCTGGAAAACCCTGCAGGGTCGTCGTAAGTCAGCTGCAACTTGATCACACTTCTCCCCACCAGCATCCCTGTCCTTCCTACGTAACAGTGACCTCACATCAGGCAATCGTTTAAAAAGACAATCAGTCAGAAACGATCTCAATTAGAGAATAACAAGACGGGGACCCGCGATACTCGCGGGGGGGAGAAGAGCTCCGTCTCCTCCATTCCCCCCCCCCGCTCGATGTCCCAAGGAGGCGGCAGAGAGGCCGGTCCTCCCCCCCACTTTGCCGGGCTCGGCGGCGGCGAGGCCGGTCTCCCCCCCCCCCACCCGGCCGGCTCCATGTTTGACTAGGCCATTGCTTTGAAATGGAGGGATGTAGCATTTGCAAGACTTCGTACCCTCCTTGATCGGTCAAAACATCATTTCTGTACAACCTGAATTTTCCACTCCCTGTTTACTTTTTCAGGTTTGCTTCTTTGTTTTCTCGGACCCCAGGGCTTTGATTGAACAATTAAAAAACACAGAAGCTGAAAAGAGGACCCAGCTGGTGGCATCGTGTAGCAAGGCAAAGCATATTTTGCGTGAAATTTCTGGGTATAAATCGGGCAGTCTTCTGCTCCCCCCCCAGTCTGTTTTTTTTAATCAGCCCTTAAAATATTCACGTAAACCAGGCGCCATCTTTAGAGGTCAGGTGGAGCTGAAACTTGAACAGCTGTCCGACAAACGTCCTGGATTGTTTTTAATTGTCTTCCCTTTCTCTGGCTGCCGTAACTCTTGTTTATATTGTCGAGGGCCTTTCCCCGGAGTGTAAGTGTACCATATTCTGAGGTCACATGCTTAACCCCATGGCATGGCTACAATGCAAATGGCCCCTTTTGTTTTCATTAATGTGTACCCCAAGCAGTATACAGGCAGGATGCGAGGCGAAGAGCCTTCAGAAAACTTAAATAACTTATTGTAACAAAAACCACAAAGGAAAGCATCAGTATTGTCTCCGTCCCAGAGATGGTTAGCGGTACCCTTGTGCAACCAGCTATAAGCCAGTTGATTGATTTGCCATCATTGTGTTACCATGTTGATCTTTTGACCTGGGATACCGCTATTTGGTATGGATTGAACAGGCTGGTCGATTCGTTCGCATCTGATCAACACCTTTAAACAAGATAAATTTGACTGTCAAGCCCATTTGTGGTGAAATTCATACCGACCGTAGCCTGACTCCAAAGTGTTTCTCGCGTGCCGCCGTCACCTGTGTAGATGAGGAGTCTCTATAATAACTGATAGCCAACCATCCAAAGTCATTGAGCGCACATCTCTAACTTTTGGTGCCCCTTGAAGAACCCTCCATAGCTATAAGCGGAACAAAAGTCCAACGTTACCCTCCTCTTCATCTGACATCAGGGCTATTTTTGAGCAGAGTTCCGGCTGGCTTCAGAGTTGGCCACGCCCACTACAGCCAAAACCTC